AAGTCGGCCCTGACTCATAGTGACCCCCGACTCATAGTGACCCCTCCTTGGGTTTCCAAGGCAGCATCACTACAGAAGTAGGATTGCCCAACCTTCCTTCAGAGGAGTGGCTGGTGGGTTTGAACCGCCAGCCTTCTGGTAAGCAGTCAAGTGCCTTAGGCACTATGCTACCAGAGCTCCTAAATAGAGAGGGAAAACAATGTGGAACAAAACTCAAAATCATTTGGAGAAAAAGAAAAAAAAGGTGGAGACCAGATTTGCTGGTCTGATAGAGCCTGGTGGAACCACTGAGACTATGGTCCCTAACTGCCCTTTAGGTCTGGAATTGAAGCCACACCTGTGGTTTCCAGCCAAACAAAATATAGGTATATGAGTTGAAGATTTACCTCAAGTAGATACACTCTTCAGAGAGAACAATCATGGGAGAAAGAAGGGATGCTTATGCACAGGGAGACAGCTCAGGGGGCAGAAGTGTATGGAGGGATGGACACTGGGGAAGAGGTAACTATGGGGAGGAAGTGGGAGGGGAGCTGTTGCATTGTGGTAAACTGTGGTCAATGACATGAGACAAAGGATATGTGAACTGCTACATGGAAAGTGAATTTGCTCCGTAAATCTTCACCCAAATCATAATAATAAAAAAATTAAAAAAAAAGAAAGAAAAGAAATACCATTTGAACCAACCATCCCTTTACTAGGTATACATCTCACTAAAGAAGTGAGAGCCAGGGCAAGAACAGACATATGTACACCCATGTTCATCACAGCACTATTTACAATAGTCATAAGATGGAAACAACCTAGGTGTCCATCAACTGAGGAATGGATAACCAAATTATGGTACATACACACAATGGAATACTATGCAATGTAAAGAATATAGAATCAGCAAAACACTGCGTAACGTGGATGAACTTGGAGGACATTATGCTAAGTGAAATAAGTCAATCACAAATGCACAAATATTATATTAGTCCATTATTGTAAAAGTCAAGGAAAGGTTTATCTATGGAAGGAAATTTTCTTTGTTGGTTACCAGGGGTGGGAGGGGAGGGAACACTGTTAGGTAGATAGAGATAAGTATTGATTTGGGTGAAGAGAAGGGCAATGTACCAAATGTGAGTGATCAATATGGTGGCAATGATGAAGAGAAAGACACAGAGAGGTACATGGGAGATACAGACAACAAAGATGAACCCTTTTGCACATACAGCACTGTGTTGTCCGTGAAGGCAAACATGGGTATATGGGTGGAGAGATGGGTGGACAGATGAGTGGACAGGCTGTACTAGTAGGTACGTCTATGAAGCGGGGTGTATACCCAAGAACATATATAGGGTTGGCAGACAATGGTCCTATAAGTTTATTTGTATGATCTGAATTCCCAGGTGTATAGTAGAGCTGACAAGAGGCAAGGTGGTAGTCATTACTTGGTCACAGCCAGCTAGCTACCCAGAGGGACCAAGTAGTTAAACTTGTGGGCTCGGCACCATAGTTGCAGGTGACATCAAGCTCAAGTGGCATTAACATGCTACACAAAACATTGTTCCACCTCCTACTTTGGTGAGTAGCAACTGGGATTTTAAAAGCTAGCAAGCTGCCATCTAGATGCAACGATGGGGCTCTCCTCGCCCAGAGCAAAGAAGAATGAAGAAAACCAAAAATTCATGGATACTATCAGTCCTAACGACTGGTACACCATCCGATCTGCAGCCTATATGACTATGAGACCAGAAGAACTAGATGGTGCCCGGCTACCACTGTCATCCAATTGGAAGGGATGTAGGAGATCCTGGATAGAGAGGGAGAACAATGTGGACAAAACCCAAAATCATTTGGAGAAAAAAAAAAGGGGGGGCGATCAGGTTTGCTGGTCTGATAGAGCCTCGTGGAACCACTGAGACTACAGCCCCTAGCTGCCCGTCAGGTCTGGAATTGAACCCACACCTGTGGCTTCCAGCCAAGCAAAAGACAGGCATATGAGTTGAACATTTACCTGAGGTAGATACACTCCTAGGAGAGAACAATCATGGGAGAAAGAAGGGCTGCTTATGCACAGGGAGACAGCTCAGGGGGCAAGAGGACATGGAGGGATGGACACAGGGAAGAGGTAATTATTGGGAGGAAGTGGGAGGGGAGCTGTTGCATTGTGGTAAATTATAGTCAATGTCATGAGACAGTGTATGTGAACTGCTGTATGGCAAGTGAATTTGCTCTGTAAATTTTCACCCAAATCACAATTTAAAAAAATATATATATAATATAAAGAGGTATGCAGTCTTATATGCAGCTAAACCATGAAACGAATACTGTGCCAGCTGGAAGGCAGTTTTCTTTTTTTTTTTTTCCTTAGTCACTAATATTTCAACAGTACTCTCTCAAATTCTGTATTACAATAAAGAACATATAAGACTTGCAACTCTTACATTTTCTCCACCATTATGACACACAATAGAGATTTATCTTTAAGCTTTAGTTTCACATTAGAAAACTGTATTTTACTTTCAAATGTAACATCCTGTGTTTATTTGCAAGACAACATTCATTCTGTAAGATCTAAAATGTGATGGGGTTATGTTCTCATGGAATTGTTTTTTAGGTTATTTCTTGAAGTAGGCATAAATTATATGAAGTGGTTTTATTTCAGTTTTAACTAATATTTGCCTAAAAAGAACTGAAGTTAGCTGGATTGCTGGTACTTTTAAAAATTCACTGAGCCTAAATATTCTGGGGCTCAAACAGATTTGTGCTGTTTTTCACCACCTCAAACTGTTTACATCTAAATTTATTTTAAACACTTAAGAGAATTTTAACGAATAAAATTCTTTAATATTAGAGAATAAATCACCACCATGTTATTAGGAGGGAGCTCTGGTGGCATAGTGCCTAAGGCATTTGACAGCTAACCAGAAGGCTGGCGGTTCAAACCCACGAGCCACTCCTCGGAAGGAAGGTTGGGCAATCTACTTCCATAGTGATACTGCCTCGGCAACCCAAGGGGGGGTCACTATGAGTCGGGTCCGACTCGACGGCACACAACAACAACAACAAATGGCTAATGGGGAGCTCTGGTAGCAGAGTGCCTAAGGCATCTGATTGCTAACCAGAAGGCTGGTGGTTCAAATCTACCAGCCACTCTTCGGAAGGAAGGTTGGACAATCTACTTCCGTAGAGATACCACCTCAGAAACCTAAGGAGAGAGAGGTCGCTGAGTCGGATCCGACCCGATGGCACATAACAACAACAAAAACAAGTTATCAGAAAAAAGAAACTAATGGGTGGAGGTGAAAAGAATCCTTCTTGCTCCACCTCCATCTCCACCCCCACCTCCCAAAAGGAACCAACCAGGAAAATCGAAGGCTGACTTCGGTTCAAGGTTACAGAACCTCTAAAGTACAATGGAATGAAAAACATCCAGGCTTCTTAGATCTGGGAAAGCACGTCTGACCGTCTGGCACACTGGAGAATGGGGCTCACTGCCAGGTCACAAACTCCCATACACTCAGCAGCTAGCAATCTCTCCTTGCAAAACTAAAACTTTTCAAGAGCAGAAACAACAGGCAGTCGGAGTGGAGACCGGATGAGCCGAAAGACACCAGCCGCCAAGACCCTTTATCGGCTGCTTAAAAAGTTGTTTTGCCAATGATTCACCGTCTCTCGCGAGGGCAGGGAGCCACAAAAGCAGACGGGGCGACCCAAAAGGTCGGCGAGCCTCTGACCACACACAAGACGATGCTTTGTTGTTGTTGTTGTTATGTGCCATCGAGTCGGCCCCGACTCATAGCGACCCCTCCTTGGGTTTCCGAGGCAGTATCACTACGGAAGTAGGATTGCCCAACCTTCCTTCCGAGGAGTGGCTGGTGGGTTTGAACCGCCAGCCTTCTGGTTAGCAGTCAAGTGCTTTAGCCACTATGCTACCAGAGCTCCTAAGACGATGCTAGTGACCCCTAAATACCCTAGCCGGAGAACCTTTCCCTCTACAGACACGGAAACAAAGCAGATCCAGCGCTACTTTACTCCAAAACCCCCCAGATCTCAGGGTGAGCAGGCCCAGCGGAAAACTACCCTTGCTGCGGCGTCCCGTTATTACCTGACGTTCCGTGCAGGACCCTGCGCCGGAGTCGGGGCTCCAGTCGCTGCCGCTGACTTCGGACGGCATCCAGAGACCACCTTCTTCAGGGCTCTTTGGCCACTCCGAGCTGCCATGGTCGTCTCACCGAAGCCGGTCGCCACCTCCTGGACCAGGCCGGCGGATCCGCCCTCCTCTGGCCCAGCTCCACCACCCGGCTCCGGCCCTTGCAGCCAATCGGCGGCCCCCTGAACCTCCAGTCACGCCCTTCTTCCCTCTATGATTGCTTAAAGCTGACGCATGCTCCCACTGCCTTACGGCTGACAGTAAACGCCTGCGTCATCCTATCAGCCAGTCAAAGGGGGCACAAGTTTGCGAGGGCACACCCTTTTCCGGCGTCCTGGCGGGCCCTAGTTTTTTCTCTCGCGCGCGGGCGTCATACGCACCACACAGAGTCCCGGCTCACCGCACCTCCGGCACTGGAACTCTACCCGGAACTCGCCAACGGCCACAGTTCTCGGCGCTGCTTTGGGTGGTGAGGCCCGACACGTGAGCTCAGCCTCTGAAGAAGCCGTGGGTTCTGGGTGTTCATTATGTAACTGTCCAAACCGGTGTGTACGGAGTAGGAAGCGCCATCGCTCCTGGCTGCGAAGTCCAGCGGTCAGAGACCTACTTGTTAATGATTGTCTAATACTTGCCATGCTTACCCAGGGGTTGTGATGAGGGCAACATAAAATCACTCACTGGGTAAGGAATTCCGTTTTCGAAGATAACATAAGTTCCATCTTATGAATCATTAGGATTCGTATGTGGTGTGGGTTCCCCTTATTTTAGGCAATTCACACGAACTTGTTCAGATTCACTCATTTCAGAAACCGGTCAGTCATCAAGTTCCGATTTCTTTTTCCAGTGTTCCCAGGCCCTTATTAAATCTTCACAATCTATAGTTTTACTCATCTTTAAAGTGAGGCTAGTAATGCTATACACTTTATAAGATTGTGAGGTATAAATGTGATTGTGAGATAGTTGATTACATATCAAACATTCTGTATCTTTCTGTGCTACTCTAAAATCACATAATATAAAAGTCACTATTATGCTTTCAAAATACGTATATGTAAGCACTTACAATGTGAACTTAGACATGTGGCAGCTTTCGTGAGGCTTTCTAACTTTATGGAAACCAAAAACCAAACTCACTGTCATCCAGTCATTCCCGCTCATAGCGACCCCTTTTGGGTTTCCGACGCGATAAATCTATGGAAGTAGAGTGCCCGATCTTCCTTCTGGGGAGTGGCTGGTAGGTTTGAACCGCCAACCGTCTAGTTACCAGTCAAATGCCTTAGGCATTATGCCACCAGAGTTCCTTACTAGAAACCTGTAAGTCGTCATAATTTCATTTAGAAACTTTCTGAACACAGACACAGCATGTTAAATATGTGAAGAGCATAAACCTTTAAATTCAGTTTGGCCCAGCATGCTGTGATAAAAGAAAACAACACAGTTCATGTTCCTAAAGGAGCCTTGAGATTTAAGTCCAAAAACCTCCCTAGTCTCTAACCTCGAAGGAAAAAAATGCAACCTTTGGCTAATCTCTAACCTGGAGAAAATATATTAATGTATTAATGTCTTTGATGTCACACATGCCCTTATATGTGAAGCCAGTGTGAAAAATTCATATATAAACTGGATTTCTGCTCACTCACTGACAAAAGACAGAGATAGAACCTCCATCTAGAGTCTCACTTTCTCCAGAGACTGAGGATCTGGACTGAGATTCTGCCTGCCACCATTGACTTTGGACTATAGCTACAAGGAACCACCACTGAGCTGGAGCTCTGGTTTAAGCCTTCCTCCTGAGCCCACTGGTAAAAGGTAAAAGACTAAAGTTTGAAGATTTGGACTCTTAACCATTGAACTAACATTGTGTTAATTCTGAATCTCTGGTTCTAAAAGAATTTCCTGAGATAGTGGCTAAGGCACTTGACTGCTAACCAGAAGGCTGGAGGTTCAAACCCACCAGCCACTCCTCGGAAGGAAGATGGGGCAATCTACTTCCGT